TGCAACGCACAGCGTGTTCCATTCTTAAGTGTGTTGTTGTAATGTTGCATAACTGTTGGGCATAGGAGAAATATTATTTCTTTCGTTTGAAGGATGAATTAGAAGGAAATTGCTTTCCCCTTGCGGTGTGTAGAGTTAGTGTAAGTGAGTAGTCCGCCCCGCTAGGTGGCGTTAAACTGGGGTACTTAAGGAGTGTGAAGATTTGAATTGTTCATTCTCGTTCTAAGTGCAAGCACGGCCATTAGATTATTTCTGTTTCTTTATGTGAAAAGTATTGCATTTTCAACGTTTTAATCTGTTGTCTGTATGTTTCAGATTTGTGACAGTGGGGACAGATTCAGATTTGTTATATTTTCGGGCGTATTGTTGTCGCCAGGCTGCAGAGCCATTATAATACAATGTAAGCTGCTGTAAGCGTAGTAAAACGACGATGTGATGTTGCTCTGGGCTGAAGAGCCACTATAATACTAATGTAAGCTGCTGTATGTGCAGTCGTACGATGTGATGTTGCTCTGGGCTGAAGAGCCACTATAATACTAATGTAAGCTGCTGTATGTGCAGTCGTAGATGTGATGTTGCTCTGGGCTGAAGAGCCACTATAATACTAATGTAAGCTGCTGTATGTGCAGTCGTACGATGTGATGTTGCTCTGGGCTGAAGAGCCACTATAATACTAATGTAAGCTGCTGTATGTACAGTCGTACGACGTGATGTTGCTCTGGGCTGAAGAGCCCATATAATACTAATGTAAGCTGATGTTGTGCTTTCATAGGATGATGTTCTGGGCTGAAGAACCGTTATAATACAGGGAGTAAATATGCCCTAATACAGTATATGCAGTGTTTGTGTATATTGTTGTCAGTAAAATATGCTTATGTTCATAGGCTAGCAGCCATTATAATACACTATGATGTGATTAAGTGATACAGAAGTATTATATACTTGTCAAAGTATATATGTGTCGGTGCCATTGTGTTTTCTGTGTACGTGTGGACAACCGAAGCAATTTTTTACACAATATTTCAATGTACATATGTAGCTAATGAATATATCAGGTTTAAGTGTTCATGTACATCTGCAGTAGATCACATGCATACTGTAAACCCTCCGGTAGTTGCTGTTTGCAGTCGTTGAGGGAACACGGTTCCAGAGTATTTTCTCTAAAGGAGTTGTTTACCTCTGGTTTTACGTGTCGGGCAACAGCAAGTTAATTGTGATCAAATAGTGTATGTTTCATTGTATGTAAGATCTGAGGTATGCAACATCAAAATGTATGTATGTTTAGGCAATTGCGGAAATAAATCTCGGCCCTGCAACGCACAGCGTAATCCATTCTTAAGTGTGTTGTTGTAATGTTGTGTAACTGTTGGGCATAGGAGAATAGATAATCTTTAACTCCTTTGTAAAGAGGCCTCGGTATGGACACGTATGACTTCTGTACCGGTACATCATCAGTGAGTTGAATGTCCATTTTCAAATCAGTTATTGTCCTAATATCATCATCTGTCTTACTGAAGACATCTGACTCTTCATATAACACCTGATTGATCATTTCCTGTTGTTCCTCACATAAATCATTACTTAAGTCGACTGGGGGATGCCAGTGTTCTTGTATGCTTGTGGTGTCTGATGTCTTTATCTGATATCAGGATATCATCTAAATTCCAGTCAGGATCTGGGTCGTTCTCACCTTGTAATGGTATGACAGATCTCACTTGCTGCAGCGTACCAAGACATGTCCTGCTGTGAACTTTAATGTCATGACTAGTACAGTTCATTATGTAACGGGATGTTTGTTTTTGGTGCCTCTCTTCAACCTAAGAAGTGATCCCTGAATCTTCAGTCCATCAGGCCAACATAAAAGTCAACAAAGACTCTATATTCTGGATGACATGGACAGCTTCCACTTCATCTACCAGCACTCTTTCCAGACGTATTTTCTTCACGATGACTCGTTTGTTTGCTTTCACGGCATCTTGAAATTTAATTTTGGTATCTTGAACACACTGAGCGCGGTCTTGAAACCACTGGGATGACTGCACAATGACTGTTTCTTTGAGTTGGTCAACTTTACGCAACACACGTGTAAAAGGTGGCCTTTTCACCGGTTGCCAAAGTGGCCATGACAGGTTTGATTTGCAATCCAAACCTTTCGCGACCATCAAGCAAGACGACGAGAAATCGAATGACCTATCCAACAAATTACCTATGCGTCTAACTGTCAATTCATATACATTGACTATATGGACAATGTTGATGGTTTATCTCAAGAAAGTAGCTTCCTTCGTGTGTACGTTCTTTTGTTTCACAACACCGACCATTTTAATGTAGGGACAGTCGGGGGACCACTTTTCATGTTCTACCCATGGGTCGACAGTGGCTTCCCATCCTTTCAGACGGATGTCACATTTAAAACAATAGCAGCTATCAGCACGATTCAAGTAGACGAATCCAGCCATATCTTCCGACGACTGGTTCATTTGTCTCGACCAATCTTTAAACGAGGATAGTCTTCTTTCAAAATAACTCCAGTCCTGTAATACAGGCGACTTACCGGCCACAGAATCCGTACAGATATCACCCATCATCATCATTATCATCATCTTCCTTGCTCGTGTAATGTTAGCTTGTGACTAAGCGATACTAAACAATGTCAATCCATTTAAACACATGAGCAAACAGGACTCCATTGAACCCCGTCATCTCTCCATTGTTCAGTCTGCTTGTTTAGAGGATTTCATTTTTCTTTTCATAGTTTTATACATCTTTCACTACTAAGGTGTTTACATAAAAATTATGCGATTATTTAAATTACGTTAATATGTTATTTTCTTCAAATAAACCCTAATCCAACAATAATACACGTACCTGTAGTCCATTACATAGTGAAGTACTAATATTTGTTAGCTTTCAATTTCATAACGTTGAGTCATCGACGTCAAAGGGTGCAGTTTGGAAATAATGTGGGTTAAACATTTGTGACCAACACTTCCGCACAAAGGAAACAACTCAATTCCTTAATAAATCTGTTCAGCTCGTCTCGAACATCATAGTTAAAACTCAACTATTTCACTGGGCAAAAGTTTATTTTCTGTTGTGTTACAAATGCAATGTACAGCCTAGAAACGCCAATAAAGAAAACAGTTATCCAAATACAGTAAGTGATAAATACAAATCATTATGTGTGGTCTTTTGGCCGGTTGAGAGTTTGTCCTTCAACCTTATCCATTGAAGACAGGAGAATGTGTACATCCAAAGAGTTATATTGAAAAACAAGATACAGCACAGTATTAACAAAATGACATCAGAACATCCTTGGTTAAAACGGAAACGTGTCTCTGGCCTCAGTGCGTCTCTTTTTATCCTATTTTTAATCCCCGAAAAGTATTTTCATACATTTCCTTCCTGACATGAAGCAGTTTCTGTTATCTTTGCTTGACAACTGACGTTGTATTAAAGAGCCGAGTACAGAGTGTGTTCAGTTGTGCTCGTTGGTATCCATGGTGGGAAAAAATTAAGAAGTGTTCACCCCTAATATATTTGTTTTCAATAAAAGACAGAAAAAAAATAACACCACCTCCTCGCTTTTGAGAACAATGTGCACGAGATACATGTATTTGTTAATACATCCTTTTTACATAGAATAACTAGTCCAGACACAGACAAATTACCAGTATATGAACAATTTGAGTAACAAGAACATATTTGTCATAATCAACATATATAATTTGGGTTAGTTATATTTTCAAACACATACTGAATACAAAGAAACAACATATAGAATATACTTTTAAGCAACATATTGAAGGAGATTCGTATTGACTAACTAAAAGAATTAGTAACAAAAAGAGCATGTGACGTCATCCATTGTGTCATGGTGTGATCACATTCCATGTTGACGTCATTGCATTTAAGAGAGACGCCATTTCTAAACTGTGTTCATGTAGAGAGAGTGTGCTTCAGGAAGCTAGTAATCACTTTTGTATCTAACAGTGAGTGAGTGAGTAAAAGCTTCATGTCACATCGGCAATATTTCAGCCATATCGTGACTTGTATCTAACAACATCAGTAACACTGGTGTATATAATTGAGGGTATTATTGAGTATTTGATGCAAGGACAAATGAACCATTCGGAATGTATTTGAAAAAATAATACAGCATAGTATTCAATAATGACACGTGCTAATTATTACTAACTGTGACCAAAAGCACATAATATTAAAAGCAAAATAAGCAGTTTCAGTCACAAGTATATATTTATCATATTCTACATATTCTACATATATAAAATGGGTAACATAAAAAATCTAAACCAAAGCGTCAGAGTTTTAACTCGTGTTGATATATTTGATATCAAAAGACACGTGGGTGAGATTATTCTTATCGTCCTGAATCAATCTTCTAGCCTTTTGCCAATGCAAACAGTACTAACCAGTGTCTTGAGTGTATAAACTACAGCTAACCAGCTTCTGTGGTAGATTAGTGAAGGCATTGTACCGATGACGTCACAATGGTATGCAAAGCATTGTGATGCAGTTCCATTGTAACGATATCTCATAACACATACTCAAGCAATATTTCCTGTGGAAGCCATTATTGGATGATAAATTGTCATAGCACACAGAATACAAACCGCAGAAAGCCATAATAATTTACTTCAGAGGTTATGTGACAACACGTTGCAATAGATAAATTGGGTGTGACAAACATCCGATCCGTGTTATTTATCATCTGTTTGGTTTAGAAGAATAGAATAGCTGTACACTTAATATGTTGTTTAACGGTAGAGAGCTACAGGTCCAACTCATCTGCTCCTGGTTTGTCTTGTTGCATGTTCTTTCTCAGCATTGTTTCTACTAAACTGTGCCCCGTTGGACCTGAATTATCTGCGCAGAATAACAATAAATTGGTAATTATCATAAAAAGATAAAAAAGAAAATAATTCACAAAAGAGAAGCTTCACCCCACAGTCCACCCCACAGTCCATCTCACAGTCCACCTCACAGTCCACTTCACAGACCACCCCACAGTCCACCTCACATTCCACTTCACAGTCCACCTCAGTCCACTTCACAGTCCACTTCACAGTCTTGATCTTGTCTTACTACCCATGATCTTGTGGCTTCTACACCTAGCTGTACAGCTCAGACACCTCACCTTTAAAAACAAAGTCACTTTTAATGGTTTTATTTTATTTCATGTGCCCACGCATTGAGAATTGTCAAACAATATTTTATGACGAGTAAAGGCAGGATGTCTCATAAATATGGACCCTCCTTCAGCTCAGGTAAATTTAACGTAAATGATTCAGTATCAATCAGTGAAGTATTTCGTTTGCTCAGCTATGGAAGACATCAAAGCTCGGACGGCCCATGAAGACCCGGGTAGAGAATAGGTCCATAGCAACCCATGCTTGCTGTTAAAGGTGACAATGCTTGTCGTAAGAGGCGACTTATGGATCGGGTGGTCAGGCTCGCTGACTTGGTTGATGCATGTAATCGTATCCTGATTACGTGGATCGATGCTCGTGATGCCTATCACTGATTGCCTGGCCAAGACTCGATTATTTACAGACCGCCGTCATATAGCTGGAATATTGCTGAGTGCTGCGTTAAGCCACAAACAAACAAACAAACAAACAAAGCTCGGGGACATCGGGACTCGATGCCGCGAATACCTACAATATGAGAACACAGTTGTGCTCGTCTTCAGTTTGATCGTTGTTCGCAAAGTTTATTCCATTTTATCATGGCGGGCGGTATATGGTTCAAGTCTTGACAACCTGATGCATTCAGTCGCTTCTTATGACAAGCAGGGTTCAAGGGGACCTGTTGTAGCCAGGACTCCCCACGTCCTGATGGAAGTTACAACATAGGAAAATACTATTCACTAAAACGATCAACTGACTCGATCATTTTGGTTGCCCATATTTATATGTTAACACGATTGTCTATCTCATTATCATAAAGCCAGGAGGTACAGTAGCCTAGCGAAACGATTTCGAATCTTCATATGGATGCGATGTATGAATTCCACCCCCGGGATCCCCATCCGTGGTATTGGAACATTGCTAATCTCAGCGTAAAACGCTATCACTCAATCACTCGACAACATTATCTGACTTACCTCCCTTGTCTGTCGAGTGGACTGACACTGCCCGACCCTCTCACTGGGGCTGTTTCTGTACCACGCTGTACACATCACATTCAGCAGCCCCATCTTCAAGAAACAATGGTAATCTAACTTTTAGTTAGGAAATAAACGACGAGTGGGGGTTGTTTATCGTACAATAAAACACTGCAGGGAGAATAAACCATGATGGGCGCAGCTCCGAGTGATTTAGTCTCCCTGCAATATTTATTGGACAATAAAGAACGTCTATGAGACGTTTATTTCTTATATGAGACATCAACATCATGTACAGCCTCTTAAGGATGATGATGAAATGTACAAGCTTTCAAAATATAAACCCGTATTTCAATAATGATGACTCCCTCAATGGAATCCATGAAAGATGGGTATTTCCCGCAAATTCTCTCAATCCTCATGTCGATTGCCTGTACCTTTTCTCCCAAAGAAGATTGTAATATCTCACCCACTTTTGGATGCGATTGTTCGGCCATCGCGTTTATCTTAGTAGCCGAGCTACATCTTTGGGGAACAATTCACTAGATACTCCCTTCTCAAAAATAACGTCGTCCATTATACGTCATCAAGTTGTGAGCGCATGTTCGAATCTCTAGAAATGACGTCATGATAGAACAATGTTAATGAAATAAACCGCACTTCGCTCTTCATTTTTCTTCGCTATTTATCGCGTAGCTATCTTATATTTCCAATAACATCCTACTTCAAAAATACATTTTGCACATGTACATAATCGCAAAGCCAGATGGAAGGTATGGTAGCTCAGTGAATCGAATTCGAATACCGATATGGATGCACTGTGTGAATCCCCTGCCGTGATATTGCTGGAATATTGCTAAAAGTACAACCACACTCTATCACTCCCTCGGCAATACTAATCTGACCTACCATCTTTGTCCGTCGGCTGGTGCGACATTCCCTGGCCTTCCGACTTGGGTTGTTTCTGTACGACGCTGTACACATCACAGGCAACAGCCTCCGCTTCAAGAAACAATGGTAATCTAACTTTTTAGTTACCAACAACATCCTACTTCAAAAGGTTAGTATGTACATGTACACATATGTGTATAATTTGGTTACTGATGTTCAATGCATAAATAACTATTACAACCATTGTCCAAGAACGTATATCAAAGACACAATGACTCATTAATGAAACTCTAATTAATTAAAAACGCAGATTGATCATAGTATTTTTGTTTTTCAGTCACTGGATTGTCTGGTCCAGATTCGATGATTTACAGACCGCCGTCAAATATCTGGAATGTGATAGGCTACTAACCTTCACATTATGATCCTAAGACATGATATCCACAAAGGAGGAACCTAAGACATTATATCCACAAAGGAGGATTCTGAGACATCATATCCACAAAGGAGGATCCTAAGACGTAATATCCACAAAGGAGGATTCTGAGACATCATATCCACAAAGAAGGATCCTAAGACGTAATATCCACAAAGGAGGATCCTAAGACATGCTATCCACAAAGGAGGATCCCAAGGTGTGATATCGACAAAGGAGGATCCTAAGACATGCTATCCACAAAGTAGGATCCTAAGACATGATATCCACAAAGGAGGATCCTAAGACATGATATCCACAAAGGAGGATCCTAAGACATGATATCCTCAAAGGAGGATTCTGCAACATGATATCCACAAAGGAGGATTCTGAGACATGATATCCACAAAGGAGGATCCTAAGACGTAATATCCACAAAGGAGGATTCTGAGACATGATATCCTCAAAGGAGGATTCTGAGACATAATATCCACAAAGGAGGATTCTGAGACATGATATCCACAAAGGAGGATCCTAAGACATGCTATCCACAAAGGAGGATCCTAAGACTTGCTATCCACAAAGGAGGATCCTAAGACATACAGTGTAATATCCACTAAGGAGGATTCTGAGACATGATATCCACAAAGGAGGATTCTGAGACATAATATCCACAAAGGAGGATTCTGAGACATGCTATCCACAAAGGAGGATCCCAAAGCGTGATATCGACAAAGGTGGATCCTAAGACTTGCTATCCACAAAGGAGGATCCTAAGACATGATATCCACAAAGGAGAATCCCAAGACATGATATCCACAAAAAAGGATCCTAAGACGTGATATCCACAAAGGAGGATCCTAAGACGTGCTATCAACGAAGGAGGATCCCAAGGCGTGATTTCGACAAAGGGGGATCTAAGTCATGATATCCAGAAAGGGGGATCTCAAGACATGATATCCACAAAGGAGGTTCCCAAGACATGATATCCACAAAGGAGGATCCTAAGACATGATATCCACAAAGGAGGATCCTAAGACATTTTTGTCAGGACATTCAGCTCATCCAGCAATCAATTCTATGTTTACTGTTTTGTAAAATGTGTGGAAGAGTTCTTTTGTCCATGATTTTCGGCCAGAAAGTATTCATTTAAACAGCTTCCCTACGACTCACCCTTCAGTGTTGATGGACGCTGTTTATCCGGGATGGCGTATATGTCTGCAACCTCCTGAGATGTACCAGGGGACGCCTGGGAGTCTGAAGGAGACAGTATTCAGTACAACATGAGACATGTTTACAAATGAATCAGTGCCAGTGATTAAAAAACAGCGTAAGAGACTAGCCACGTCAAATGGATCAAATGTTCAAATTTCAATAAAATATACTTGATACATGATGGATTTAAATAAAATCTTTTCGTCAGAATTGGTAAAGAAAAGATACAGGACCCTTCCAATGAATAAACTGTGGTCAATCGACTTCGTGAACGTTTAAAAGCTGACGAATCATTTATCAATATAACAGAAATATCCAAGCAAACAGCTGTAAGTTTATTAAATGAGTGGGCGGGGTTTTCCCCGGTTTTAGCCACAGAGCGACGGTGGACACCAGACATAGGGTTGCAACATTATGGCCACGTGGGGAATCTTGCAGCTATTAGCGGCGAAGTAAGTAATCGAACCCGGGTCTTTGGATTGAAGATTCAACGCTTTGATAACCAGGCTACCACACCTCCCCCTTGTCATATATACCATAGACTCACCGTGGGTGCTGTCTGTCTTGTCTAGCCCCACCTATCTGGACATAGTAACGTCCCCACACCTCCCCTTGTCATCTATACCATAGACTCACCCTGGGTGCTGGCTGCCTGGACCCACCTATCTGGACATAGTGACGTCCCCACACCTCCCCCTTGTCATCTATACCATAGACTCACCCTTAGTGCTGGCTGTCTGTCTGGCCCCACCTATCTGGACATAGTGACGTCCCCACACCTCCCCCTTGTCATATATACCATAGACTCACCCTTGGTGCTGGCTGTCTGTCTGGCCCGACCTATCTGGACATAGTGACGTCCCCACACCTCCCCCTTGTCATATACCAAAGACTCACCCTTGGTGCTGGCTGTCTGTCTGGCCCCACCTATCTGGACATAGTGACGTCCCCACACCTCTCCCTTGTCATATATACCATAGACTCATCCTGGGTGCTGACTGACTGTCTAGCCCAACCTATCTGGGCAAAGTGACGTCCCCACACCTCTCGCTTGTCATTTATACCATAGGCTCACCCTGGGTGCTGGTTGTCTGTCTGGCCCCACCTATCAGGACACAGTGACGTCCCCACACCTCCCCCTTGTCATCTATATCATAGACTCACCCTGGGTGCTGGCTGTCTGTCTGGCCCCACCTATCAGGACGCAGCGACGTCCCAGACCTCTCCCTTGTCATCTATACCATAGACTCACCCTGGGTGCTGTCTGTCTGGCCCAACCTATCAGGACATAGTGACGTCCCCACACCTCCCCCTTGTCATTTATACCATACACTCACCCTGGGTGTTGGCTGTCTGTCTGGCCCCACCTATCTGGGCATAGTGACGTCCCCACACCTCCCCCTTGTCATCTATACCGTAGGCTCACCTTGGGTGCTGGCTGTCTGTCTGGTCCCACCTATCAGGACATAGTGACGTCCCCACATATCCCCCTTGTCATCTATACCATAGACTCACCCTTGGTGCTGTCTGTCTGCCTGGCCCCACCTATCTGGGCATAGTGACGTCCCCATACCTCCCCTTGTCATATATACCAAAGACTCACCCTTGGTGCTGGCTGTCTGTCTGGCCCCACCTATCAGGAAATAGTGACGTCCCCACACCTCCCCCTTGTCATATATACCAAAGACTCACCCTTGGTGCTGGCTGTCTGTCTGGCCCCACCTATCTGGGCATAATCCACGCCCCCATCGTAGCTGCTGTAGATGGGATTACCCACCATCACTGCAAAGTGGATGGGGAAAATTACCTCAACGAAATATTGAAATTGATATTGACAGAGGAAAAAAAGAAAGAAAGTTTCTTGCATTTGTTGATATTTGTTTACAGTTTTGTCATGTATAGATTGTATCCCTCTTTAATAAAACACTTCAAAACTGAATGTGTGATTCAGTAATCTCGTATTTATATGTACTGACCATCATCTTCTCCCTGTTCCGGATCTTGATTTCTGATAAGTTAAATGTGTATGATTACATCATATTCTGTTTGTGTTGGCATACAACATGAACAAATCAGTTCAGTTAAAACCTGTTGGAATAAGATTGTTTGAAATGCAGAGATGTCGCATTATTTAAATTGAACTGCCTTTGGTTTAGTTTACTTTGTTATATTAGCACACTAATAATTCTACGACGCCGCATTTCATTATGATCATGGGTTCGAATCCCTATGTTTCTAGGTTTGTCAGCACCATACCCGTGTTCGTGGTTTCATTTAAGCGGTAAACGTCTGAGACCTGCACAGCTTCAGCCTTCCGACCACATCAAGCTGGCACTCTGTTACATTACGGAATCGGGGGCACGGGTAGCCCAGTCGTCTAAGGCGCCGCGATTCGATGTGCAGAGATGCGTCCCTTGGGCACGCCAGACACCTATGATTGTGGGTTCGAATCCCGGTTCGCCCCGATTATGTTTCTAGGTTTGTCAGCACCATACCCGTGCTCGTGGGTTTCACCGAAGTGGTAAACGTCTGAGACCTGCATCACTTCGGGCTTTCCTCCCACATTAAGCTGACACGCCGTAATATAACTGGAATACTGTTAAAAGCGGCGTTAAACCCAACTCACTCACTCACTCACATAACTGAATCATTTGTTATTTTGTTTTTTAAAACATAATTATGTATTGGTGGTGGATAAGGATCTTGCACTGTCTGTACCATGCTGTTATTCGAGTCTCAGACAACAGCAACAACGTTCATTTTATGCAGACAATCCATGACATAACATATCCTTCGCTCTTTCAATCCCTTTTAATTAAAAAAAGTGACAAAACCACTCCCACAATCCTATGAAACCTCCAATAAAGGTAGAGTCCATCATACGTTTCTGACATTATCATCAGCATGTATTATTAAACACTATCAAACAGTGATGATGCCAGGTGTTCGCGAAAAGATGAAGAAATACCTCTACATACCTTTGATGGCCTTTGCCAGGCCGCTCAGCAGCTGAGGAAGAATGAATAGTACAGCATTGGATTCATATCATTCAAACAACATGCGCCAATACCTACGTCACTTATCGCTACGGAGTAACTACAACTGGTATATACTAGGTAACATGCACAAACATTTATTTATTTTGTAAATTGTTTCTGCAATATATGTGTTTCTCTTCGGGCAAATTTGATTAAAAATAAACAAATTTCCCTGAACAATGATATTAATTGATTACAACATTTCATTATTACGTCTCGAGATATTTGTATACTGATGTCCAATTCGCCCGGAGACATCGTAGTTCTCTGTGCAGAGTTGCGTCGCTTAGACTTGCCAGGGACCTGTGGCCTTGGGTTCGAATCCCGGTTCCTCCTCATTATTTGTCTAGTCGGTTCGAATCCCTGTTTCCAGGTTTGCCAGCACCATATCCCTGCTCGTGGGCTTCACCAAAATGGTAAAAACCTAAGACCTGCATCACTTGGCTTCCCTTTCACATTAAGCAGACACACCATGATGTAACTGGCATTCGGTTCAAATCAGCATTTACCCAAACACACTAACTCTAACGAATTCACTTCGCCACTACTTGCTACTGACATACGCGGCTTCTTATATGAAGATGGAGTGGCGGCAACGTATCAAAAACTGTTCAAAGCGGCGTTGAACCAAATCCAACTCCCTCACTCACTCTCTTGTGAACAGTACAGTACTTACAGCCATCGGTGTGCCTCTGTTTCCTTGATCGGAGTAAGCAGCAGACGGCGATGACGGCAGCAAGTAGAAACAGAGCGCCGCCAATGGTTCCGCCAAGCAGGGGAAGCATGGAGTTTACGGGGGGTGTTTGGGGATTTGTAGAGTCTTTGGTTCTGCTTTGAATCTTGTACCCAGGACTGCTTCTAACCGTTACAGAGGTTGTAGGTTTATTTGTTGAGTGAGTAGATCCGGGGACACTGGACGTAGTCGTGGTTTGAGCTGTTGATGTTGATGCCACTTTTGCCCTTGTTGACGATGACGTAGTCGTTGTTACTTCAGTTGTTTGTCCGGGGACACTGGACGTAGTCGTGGCTTGAGCTGTTGATGTTGATGCCACTTTTGCCCTTGTTGACGATGTCAGACTCGTTGTTTTTAAAGTTGTTTGTTCTAAGCAGTGATTAGAAATTAAAAGCCAGCACACGCTCAAGCCTTAAACTGTGCAAAAATAATTGGTAGTTGACACCTCTGGAGAAAATGTTTTGAAAAGTCAAATGCATGAAAATACAAAAACATTTTCTTAATTTGATTGACGTATCCCAATACTTTTTATCTATTTAAAAAGAAAGGAATTTAAAGGATTACAATAATGAATACGTTTAAATGTACTTCCTATTACAAGGCGACTATTCTTGTCGCAAGAGGCGACTAATGGGATCGGGTGGTCAGGCTCGCTGACTTGGTTGATATATGTCATCGTATCCCGATTGCATGGATCGATGCTCTTTATGTCAATCACTGGATTGTCTGGTCCAGGCTCGATTATTTACAGACCGCCGTCATATAGCTGGAATATTGCTGAGCGCGGCGTTTAACAACAAACAAACAAACAAACCTATTACAAGCCCTATTATTTTGTAAAAGGTTGAAGATGCATTTGATTCATGTGAACATCCTGTTGGGTGAGTGAGTGAAGGTGTGGAGCTAGTGTTAGAAGCCATCAAGAGCGGGCACGTCCAGGAGGAGTTTCCCCTCAAGTAAGCCAAGGATGCTGACATATTTCTCTAGAAACGTCCTGTTGGTAATTTGTCATAATTTTTAACATGCTGGAAATGCAATTGTATCCCCATAATGTGACATAACTTAATCTAGATGGGTTCGTCGATCCTTTGTTTTCGATAAGGGCAGAGCAATGTATAGTTGGCTTGCATATGACATATTGTCATAGGCAGACAGAGTTGAAATTAATTACTTTTCCCGAGGAAGTTGAAAGGTTTATATAGACATAGGATAGGGGTACATCATAAACGATAATCCAACAGTGTTTGTTATGAAGATGATAACGTCATATATTTGTCAGTTGAGATTAAATTGCATGGAAAAGTTGGAAGGAAAATATTCTTATTATACTTTACATAACATCCTATGGCGACTGACGCCACGTGGTCTTCCTTTCGTGTAAATGGTCTGATATAGCGTAAAGACAACAACTTTCCCTGGTCACTACGTGATTTATAACTGAATGAAGATGGAGAGGATATGATTCGGGCAGCCTTATTCAACATTGCATTTTCCATGTTGAACATCAAAGCTGAAACACTAATAATGAAAGATCGTCTTATAGTACCTGCCGTTGGCGCCACAACATGGACATGGATCCTCCTGGTTAATTGATTGTGTGTACATTTCCAAATTCCATCGTGCTCGTTACTGATGTTGGAGATTTTGAGAGCATGTTTACTGCAGTCCTCGTTTCCCAGTGACAGGCCTGGCAGAAGTGATTCTCCGAGGCGTAAACCGCATGGTCCAGACTTTCCTTGAAAATCAGCAACATACTTTCTCCAACTACCAACTTTGTACCAGGCGAACAAGCCTGATGCGCTACCCGTACACTCCAAAACAACATCACTTCCCGCTACAACTGTTGTATTCTGGGTATCAGGATATGTCGCTGAAAAACCAATAGAAATAATATATGTATATATAAACAGATCACGAGTGTGTAATGTCATAGGTATAAGCAGCAAACAATAGCATGATCACTGGATTGTCTGGTCCAGACTGCATCACTATCTATTAAATGTCGTATTTCATGATTAACATATATAGAAATATATAGTAAGAGGCGCTTTACTTTTTAATGGTGTATGTTCCATATGGTACCACGTGATTCTTGTTGAAGTTCCCTTAGATATTGGGTGAGTTGGGTTTAACGCCACTTTCAGTAGCATTCAAGGTGTTTTTTCGTTGTTTTTTATCACAGCGCGTCTATTCGGTGTGGGAGAAAAGCCCGAAGTGATGCAGGTCTCAGACGTTTACCCCATTTTGAAACCCACGAGCACGGGTATGGTGTTGACAAATCTAGAAACATAATCGGGACGAACCGGGATTCGAAACAACGATCATAGGTTTCTGGCGTTTCAAAGGGACGCAACTCTGCACAACTACTAGCGGCGCCTGAGACACGTGCACCTCGTTTACAGCAACAGCATCATGTACGTGTCTATGAATAGCATTGTTTCAAAATTTACTTTTTTGCGTGTATGGAAGTACATGTATAAATGGAAAACCATGCGAGCACGCATTACGTAATTCCGCGCAATTAGCGTGGTCTAATGTCTTTAGGTTCATGGAAACATGACCACAAAATATATTGCTTGGTTAACAACCCCAACGTTATGGAATCAATGGAATGTAATGGTTGCACGCAAAATAGCTCTCCCGAATCATTTGTACTATATTAGTCTCTCGTCGTTTTTTCATACGACAAACCCAAGAGTTTCAAGAACATACATATTTTTTTTGTTCCTTTATACAAAACACGACCCCACAATTACTTTTATAGGTATGGTATTGTACCAAGTGTTTCTTTTCGATCGAAATTGTTTCCTTAATATCTCTTAATAACTACATAAAGCGAAAATTTTACAAAATGAATATATTTAATCTAGAAGAGACTGATTTTCATAACATCCCTAGGCGTAATGAAATATTATGAAATTCATGTATTTGGGGGTCCTGCACAAAGTTCAAAGGACCTGTCCATCAAGGCAAGAGGCGAGAAGAATTGAAACAGTCAGACGGTAACGAACCGGAACAAATATGTCCGGGAGAAGGCGGCTGTTTCAAATGACATGGTCAGTTACCGCCAGATTCAAACATTAGTTCCCTGACAAGGGGAAGACACAGTTGGAAAATGGCGGGTTATAAAATGAAACCCGAAGACATGAAATTTGTGCGGGAAAGAAACGGACGAGCGTGCCTGCACGTTTCTGTTTATTCCTTCTCGGCTTTCGGTATCAAGGGTAGTTTGGGCGATGTATATGCATGGATTTGGCTATATGTCCTGTCCATAACGATACACATGAGCAGAAAGGGATTTCTCTCGACTGTAATATCGGGATTCCCCAACATTCCGAAGTAATAAAAGTAGTGCGCGTCGGGAAATGAATGCAATAACACGTGACCAATTGAGCTAATCAGAATGCAGAAATTATAATGATCACAACGACAATTTTTTTATTTATTTTTAAAACATAAGTTTTCTATATGAACTTGTCCCTGTCGCCTTGCCGAGTCAATAACGCTGATTTGAAAAATGATAACTTTTATTTTCAAGAAAAAAGCATTTGGCGAAAAAGCACAGCAAAATGATTGAACATCGGTTTGGAATCTCTTGAACAAATTCGGATTTCCTCATTGGTGGAAACAAGTAGATGAAGATTTTGCTTCAGGTGAGCTTAAAACCTACCTAAAATAACTGTCGGCGTTCCATCAACTCCATATATCCCGAAATACGCCAATGTCATGATTCCAGAAAAGACACAGGTTGTTCGAAAATATATCATGTTGAAATGGCAGTGTTTCACCATATATCTTTGTGTTGATATAAGCGACAACTACCAATACCACAGTGCGATCCCGACCGTACAATGAGAATGCGCCCACGAATCATCAGCACAAAGAGACGACACCAGGCGCTCGCGGAAAGGCGAGAGCAACGCTCCCCGGGAAGTGACAAGGGAATTCCGTGTGTGAGTGGCCAAGTATGCCAGACACTGTACATTACAAACTATATCCGGAACAAGGTCTATTTTAAAGTGATCACTAGAACGTGGTAACGGCGGTTGTTACAACGTCCTTATATAAGAGTTCACATATTTAACCATAATTTATAAACAATCTCTCATGTTTTATTGTTCATCACGATTTAATTTCCAGTTTCGTTTTATCTTTCGTTTATGGACCATGACCTCACAGGTTAATGCTACTGACGCAATCATGTGGGTGTGGAGTCGTAGCTTTGTGCCTCTATATTTACGGATATTTGCCATTGTAAAGGTGGCGTCTTCAAAACACAGGAAAACTTGCTTTTAGGTTTTAATAAAGAAAAACCTATTCTAAAACCTTCAAAGTAAAATCTTGCAATTGAGGGAATAGTTGTTGAAGATGAAAAAGACAGGGCTGACAAGTTCATTTCGAATCACGCAATCTTTTGAAAGTGAATGTCAGACTGGACCATATTGGACAGCCGTCTTTGAAGGTTAATCCTCAGGCACAACATACTGCTTTGTGTTTGTTTGTTTGTTTGTTGTTTGTTTGTTGTTTAACGCCGCACTCAGCAATATTTCAGCTATAAGACGGCGGTCTGTAAATAATCGAGTCTGGACCAGACAATCCAGTGATTGACATCATGAGCATCGATCCACCCAATTGGGATATGATGACATGCATCAACCAAGTCAACGAGCCTGAGCACCCGATTCCGTTGGTCGCCTCTTACGACAAGCATAGTCGCCTTTTATTGCAAGCATGGGTTGCTGAAGACCTATTCTACATCGGATCCTCACGGGTCTACTGCTTTCTGCTCAGCAATGGCGGTAATGAAGGTCCCGATAGCTTCAGTAATGTGCTATGAACGGATTTAATCGTAGACATTTTTCAGGTTGAACACACGTTCTTGCAAAGGAAAACTGAAATATATATTTATATAGACTAAACGTTGATATCACTCAGCATATTCATTTTCGGATTGTATAATAACAATGTCTGTGCTGTTGCCGTAAACTAACGGACAATTAACGCCAAAATTTAATGCAGCCTGATCCTTCAAGTCACAGATGAAATACTGGCTGATGCTAATGCCAGTATTTTATCTGTGACTTGAAGGTTCCAGCTGCGATTTGGAACAAGTGAACAAAGCATCTCTCTCGCACACCGACAAGCCTATCCAGTGTATTATATTTCTATTCTATTGTGGTCAATATCATGGGCCCACTAGCCAGGACACATGGTTCAATGCCTAAGGCTTATGTCATATGGCAGAGTATTTTATTGTTGAACAATGAGTGTGACTGTGTTACCTTGTTTCTGTTGAGATTCGGTCGACGCCTATTGTGTTTGGACTGTGATTAGTTATCAGGAATGTAGTACTGTCTCATGTAAGCAGTTTTGAGGAGTTTACTATATTTAGATGCTAGTGCTATGTGTACACTTCCGGAATACCATTGAATATTCTGTAATGTTCTAGTGCCGCTAGAATGGTGATGGCAATAAGTAGATTTTCAGAAGCTAGGTCGGTTGTATATAAGGGGACAATAGCGTTTTACGGATATCTCACGCATTTCATCGCTTCGGAACCAGCTTTCATGCGAGGATCGCTCATCATCCCTGATTCCCTGCCTAGATCATCTCGGAAGCTTGACCACTGTCGCCACTCAGTGACTATGCTATTATCACTGGCTTCGGCTATCACCATTATATTTAGATCTGATACTGACCACTGCCATTTTATTATATATTTCCATTGAATATTGTACTACCATTCCATTGTGTGCAACCATTGTAATTGCTGCTCAGTAATTTGTAATCATTTTTAAACTTCGTTAATTGTGTAATACATGTTTGGATTATGTACCACAAGTTTGTTGTTTCTTGATTTCCCACTAAGTTCTGTTATGTACAGATTTCTCGGTTAACATATCGTTTTTAATATCGTCTGAATTTGAAGTGATCACACGCTACGCAATACATGCACACTCTCTGAATGTATACATGTCATTGTATCACAATTGCGGATCGATGCTGATGATATCAATCACTGGATTGCCTGGTCTAGATTCGATTATTTACAGACCGCCGCCATATAGCTGGGATATTGCCGAGTGCGGCGTTAAACATCAAACAAACAAACACACAGTAGGGATCCTTCCGGATATTTGCTCAACATCAGATAGATGTGTGACATTCGATATTCACAGTACTTAATACTTTATTTAGCTGTCGACGCACGGGAAGTACATCCTCAGCATCGGCCCAGCTTCCTTGTTTATGTCAAGTGACATCCCAGGGTCAGTTGAAATAACACCCAAGCGCCATCTGTTCATCAGGCGGATTTTATTAGCTGTACTTAAGTATGTTTCGAAATGGAAAACTGACCTTAACACTTATGAAATGCGCGAGTCTATACCCACTTTGTAGTGTCTGCAGGAACCTCAATTGGGGAAATGTCTCCATAGTCCCACTGTCTGCAGGAACCTCAATTGGGGACATGTCTCCATAGTCCCACTGTCTGCAGGAACCACAATTGGGGACATGTCTCCATAGTCCCACTGTCTGCAGGAACCTCAATTGGGGACATGTCTCCATAGTCCCACTGCCTGCAGGAACCTCAATTGGGGACATGTCTCCATAGTCTCACTGTCTGCAGGAACCTCAATTGGGGACATGTCTCCATAGTCCCACTGTCTGCAGGAACCTCAATTGGGGACATGTCTCCATAGTCCCACTGTCTGCAGGAACCTCAATTGGGGACATGCCACCATAGTCCCACTGTCTGCAGGAACCTCAATTGGGGACATGTCTCCATAGTCCCACTGTCTGCAGGAACCTCAATTGGGGACATGTCTCCAAAGGCCCACTGTCTGCAGGAACCTCAATTGGGGACATGTCTCCATAGTCCCACTGTCTGCAGGAACCTCAATTGGGGACATGTCTCCACAGTCCCACTGTCTGCAGGAACCTCAATTGGGGACATGTCTCCACAGTCCCACTGCCTGCAGGAACCTCAATTGGGGACATGTCTCCATAGTCCCACTGTCTGCAGGAACCTCAATCGGGGACATGTCTCTATAGTCCCACTGTCTGCAGGAACCTCAATTGGGGACATGTCTCCATAGTCCCACTGTCTGCAGGAACCTCAATTGGGGACATGTCTCCATAGTCCCACTGTCTGCAGGAACCTCAATTGGGGACATGTCTCCATAGTCCCACTGTCTGCAGGAACCTCAATCGGGGACATGTTTCCATAGTCCCACTGTCTGCAGGAACCTCAATTGGGGACATGTCTCCATAGTCCCACTGTCTGCAGGAACCTCAATCGGGGACATGTTTCCATAGTCCCACTGTCTGCAGGAACCTCAATCGGGGACATGTCTCCATAGTCCCACTGTCTGCAGGAACCTCAATCGGGGACATGTCTCCATAGTCCCACTGTCTGCAGGAACCTCAATTGGGGACATGTCTCCATAGTCCCACTGTCTGCAGGAACCTCAATTGGGGACATGTCTCCATAGTCCCACTGTCTGCAGGAACCTCAATTGGGGACATGTCTCCATAGTCCCACTGTCTGCAGGAACCTCAATTGGGGACATGTCTCCATAGTCCCACTGTCTGCAGGAACTTCATTTGGGGACATGTCTCCATAGTCCCACTGTCTGCAGGAACCTCAATTGGGGACATGTCTCCATAGTCCCACTGTCTGCAGGAACTTCAATTGGGGACATGTCTCCATAGTCCCACTGTCTGCAGGAACCTCAATTGGGGAAATGTCTCTATAGTCCCACTGTCTGCAGGAACCTCAATTGGGGACATGTCTCCATAGCCCCACTGTCTGCAGGAACCTCAATCGGGGACATGTCTCTATGGTCCCACTGTCTGCAGGAACCTCAATCGGGGACATGTTTCCATAGTCCCACTGTCTGCAGGAACCTCAATCGGGGACATGTCTCCATAGTCCCACTGTCTGCAGGAACCTCAATAGGGGACATGTCTCCATAGTCCCACTGTCTGCAGGAACCTCAATTGGGGACATGTCTCCATAGTCCTACTGTCTGCAGGAACCTCAATTGGGGACATGTCTCCATAGTCCCACTGTCTGCAGGAACCTCAATTGGGGACATGTCTCCATAGTCCCACTGTCTGCAGGAACCTCAATTGGGGACATGTCTCCATAGTCCCACTGTCTGCAGGAACTTCAATTGGGGACATGTCTCCATAGTCCCACTGTCTGCAGGAACCTCAATTGGGGAAATGTCTCTATAGTCCCACTGTCTGCAGGAACCTCAATTGGGGACATGTCTCCATAGTCCCACTGTCTGCAGGAACCTCAATCGGGGACATGTCTCTATGGTCCCACTGTCTGCAGGAACCTCAATTGGGGACATGTCTCCATAGTCCCACTGTCTGCAGGAACCTCAATCGGGGACATGTCTCTATGGTCCCACTGTCTGCAGGAACCTCAATTGCGGAAATGTCTCTATAGTCCCACTGTCTGCAGGAACCTCAATTGGGGACATGTCTCCATAGTCCCACTGTCTGCAGGAACCTCAATTGGGGACATGTCTCCATAGTCCCACTATCTGCAGGAACCTCAATTGGGGACATGTCTCCATAGTCCCACTGTCTGCAGGAACCTCAATTGGGGACATGTCTCCATAGTCCCACTGTCTGCAGGAACCTCAATTGGGGACATGTCTCCATAGTCCCACTGCCTGCAGGAACCTCAATTGGGGACATGTCTCCATAGTCCCACTGTCTGCAGGAACCTCAATCGGGGACATGTCTCTATGGTCCCACTGTCTGCAGGAACCTCAATTGGGGACATGTCTCCATAGTCCCACTGTCTGCAGGAACCTCAATTGGGGACATATCTCCACAGTCCCACTGTCTGCAGGAACCTCAATTGGGGACATGTCTCCAAAGTCCCACTGTCTGCAGGAACCTCAATTGGGGAC